AAGGCGCCTCCACTTTGTTTGGTCCGCACACTCTTAACGCATATATTCAACAATACAGTCAATTGGCCACTAATTTAGCCAAAGGTGTGTCAGTATCCGCCGGACCCACAGAACCAAATCTATTACAATCGCAAATATGCCTAAAACCGGGCGTTATATACGACGGCTCGCCTTTTGGTAAGAGGTTCGGCGACGTTGTGACCGATGCCAACGACCGGTACAGTCCGGGCGCGACCGTCAAAGTGACTTTTGTGGCCGCAAATCCACGAAACGATTTAAAATCTGAGAGCACTTTCCTGGCCGTCGAGAAATTGATTGCCAACACTTCTAACTGGAGTCTTATCGCAACCGATGCCAACTGGGAGACCAGGTATGCCATCATGTGATCAAATATTATACAAGTTTTACTAAATTATTGCCAAATATAACTAGATTTTATTGGCGCCGAACCAACACTTTCTTCGGCGAGAGTGAAGTCGACATTGTTTGGGATATTCCTCGAGATATAGAGCCGGGAAAGTATCGCATCAGACATTACGGCAACAGTAAGAATCTGATGCAAACCATTAAAGCATACATTGGGGTAATTAATGCTCTCTTTCTTTACTCAATTGTAATTCATATTGAAATAAATTTTATTAATTTTTCAGACGTCGAGAACTTTCGACATAATTCATCAAAATATCTAGTCTTTTGTTTTTTACAATATTCTGTAATAGAATTTATTTGTGTTTAATTTATAAATTTATACATTAATTGATTATTTAATTTANAATAAAAAGTTCATATTTAATATAAACTACAATATATTTTGTTTTGTATAAATTATTATATATTTAATGAAATCAATTATTTTTGAAAAATTGATCACAATTTCTCTCCCGTCAGGTCAGGGATGGTGTTATAGTAGGAGTGGTCGGGAAACCTGTCTAACTCTATGTAATCGTTTTCACTAATTAAGAGTTTATCTAAATATTCAACTAATTGTGTAAACGTTGGCCTCTGATTGGGGTCTCTGTCCCAACAATAGTACATAATATTATACATTTCGCGTTTGCAGTGCTCGGGCTTTAATAGTCGGTTGCCTTCGCGCACGTATTTTATCACTTCAGCCGCCGCTAAACCGGGATATGGAGTGCCTCCCAGTGTCACGATCTCCCACATCAACACACCTTTAATACAAATAGTTATTAATATAAGTTACACTAAATGATTGCAATATTATTTACCAAAACTCCAGACATCACTCTTGGTTGTAAATATGGAGTCTATGAGAGACTCGATGGCCATCCATCTGATTGGTAATCGACCCTAAAATGCAATTTAAGCGTTATATTAATATTACGTCAATAATATTCTAATGAATAGAAAACTACCTCAGATTTGCGTTCATAAACATGATTAGCGACCACATCCCTCGCAAACCCAAAGTCGGCCACTTTTATTGTGTTATTATTTCCGACCAAAACATTTCTTGCGGCCAAATCTCTGTGAA